TAACCAGGACTCCATGAAGCTGATCCTGAGCGAGGAATGAGCTGTGAGTGATGATTAAACAAGCTAGGGCTCTTCAGTCTTGAGAGAAAATGACTCAGGGTAACTCGTAGTGGCGTGTAACATTTTAAATGGGATTGAAAAAGTGAACCCAGATCATTAGTTTTGGATGCACTGAGACAGCAGAAGGGGACACAGGTTTAGAATTACAAAGGGCAATTTCAGGAGGGACACTTAAAAAGTTTTTCTTTACTCGGATAAGTAAAGACAGAAGCAAGTCAAAGCAACATGATGCAGTGATGGGAGGATAGGTATTCTGGAGGGTTAAAATCTGATGGGCCAATGCACCTTCTTCATCTGAGTTGATCTTGTGAACTGTAGTGACTGTTTTTTAGGCGAATGCGGGAGTCAATTTGCACACAGTTATGTCCCACAAACACCCGTGAAGTCAATGACCAATTTTACTTCAAGATATCGGAGAAACTTTTTGAACTTCTGGACTAGCCAAGTGGACAGCTTTGATCTTTCTGGGCAGTGTGACGGAGGTGGAGGCAAGCGTTCCTGGTCAGGGATTGGATGCGGGGTAGGAAGGACAGCTGGGGTTCGAACCTGATGCCTAGGTTACACACAGATTCAGTAAATCTTAGGGGTAGGCTGGGGAGGTTGAGGAGGTCAGAGAAAAGACGTTGAAGGAAGCCAAGGAATCTAGCTTCTGTCTTGTTGACATTCAGTCGCAGGAAGCTTGCGCTCATCCAGGCCCTGATGTCCACCAACCAAGCTGACAGAACATCAATGGAACTGGAGTCGCACCTGGAGGGTATTGATGGTAGAGAGTGTATTCCACAGATGTATTTGACAGAGTAGCCTTAGCCTCCCTTCTGTGCCGAGTGTTCTATGATAGTCCATAGCAGACATATTAAAATCTGTCCAATTTGGGGTCTTCGTGCTGTGAGAGAGATGATGAATTTCAACTGGGATTGCTTCAGGGGTTCATAGAGTCCTGTAGTTCAGTGATTAGAGCACTCGGCTTGCAAGCGAGAGACCCAGGTTCAATTCCCTGAGCTAATTTCTTTACTCCATGTGCTCCTGTTTACCTAGAAGCAAGTAGCAGCCCGTTTATTAGTCAATTGGTGGATCGCTTTACAGGGGGTAATAAACCCTTCAAAAAAAATCTAATAATAATTTGGTCACTCAATCCACGACTGTTTGTGGGACATTGCTGTGCACAATTGGCTGCTGAGTTTCACCCACAAAATACAGTACATTCTGTGAAGTGCTTTGAGACGTCTCGAAGACGTGATAAGTCACTATATCAAATGCAAGGATTATTATTATTATCTGCATGTCCTGTGGTAAGTAATTACCTACCTCAAGCGCATTGAGGAAATTAATTGCTTTTCCCTTTGCATGTGGGACAGGGTGAAGTATAAATGGTGGAAGAAATGGAATGAACTTTTTATTTTGTATTTTCACTAATAACTTACAAAAAGAGCCTAGCCTTCGGAGGGTATAATCATTCTGCTGTGAGAACATCTTAATTAACATACTAATAAAAATTATTATTTTTAATTAGAGCAACTATCTGCTGGAGCATAAAAACTGTAATTATAAAGCATTTCTCAGTGAACTCCCACTAACAGCCACAAGCTGTTTTAAGTGTGCTCTTGTCGCAAAACTCAGAAAGCGCATTGAACTGGACTGTTTTGCAAGGGGCTGAGCTTACGCTGTAAAGTGCTTGCGCTCTGGGCCACAGTGCTTTAAACAAAATATTGTTTGATTCTGTGAAGCCAATTAGTACTTGTACGGAAGAGTCTTATACTGAGTTGCAACTCAGCATCTTCTACACCTCTTCTGCAGGCCTGCTATTCTTCGTCATCAATCACTGGATCTTACCTGGATCCTGACTAAGTGGTGTTGGGGGAGGGGAGTAGTAACCACACGGTTCAGTTTTACATTCCGCTCATTATATTGAGCTTTGTGATTTTTTTTCTACAAGGTGAGCAGATTGGAGAATTAATCACCCGCTCTCATCATTCAGTTGAAAAATTAATAATCCTTGCATTTGATACAGCACCTTCAGTTCGTTGAGACGTCTCAAAGCGCTTCACAGAATATACTGTAAAGTGAATTGACTGCATATTGTGTGGGTGAAACGCGGCAGCCAATTGCGCCAACAGCGTCCCACAAACAGTCGAGGATTGAGTGACCCAATTTTTTTAAGGGATTATTACCCCCAGAAAGTGATCTACCAATCGACTAACAATTGGTTCCTTCTTACTGCTGGGTAAGCAGGCACGCGGAATAAGGAAACTTACCTAATGTTTTGCCCTGCCCGGGAATTGAACCCGGGTCCTTTTGTTTGCGAGGCCTCATCAAATTAAATCTCATAGAATTGCAAACCTAATGGGGGCAGCCAATGTCACAGTTGAGGTTATAAACCTACACAATAACTTAGTAGTTTACTTAAAAGTTAGACCTGCCAGCTTTATTTGGTTTATTACAATTAAATTAGGAATTGAGTCCACGGAAGCCAAATACATGATTTAAATTAACAGTAAAGTTACATTCAGCAGTATTTAGAGTTTCAAAAGGTAACTGGAATTTGACTGGTTTGCAGGGAAGGAAACGACTACTGCTCAAGCTCCATCGCTAATGGTAGGGCGTGTGTCTGAGTTGTGGGCATGAAGGTGATCATATTTCATGCTGAGCTGAACTGGCTCCAATGTGACTTGCTTTCCAATGGAATGTTGGATCGAGTTAGTTCTCTGTTGGGGTCTCGTTAGTCTGGTTCCTGAGCCAATGGGTCTGCAATACTCCAGGGCACTGCTCAGCAAGTTCTGGCTCATCTGCAGGTACTATTCACCACCAGGGAGCTCCTGCCAGCCATCTAGTGAACTCAAACCTACACGTGTTGAGTATCGAACGACCAGAATTAGAGACTATCCATTTTTTAGCTGGTTTAATGTCCAGCAACACCAACAACGTTCATTTATACAGTGTTCTTTGTAAGGTAATGTTTTGGAGTGCAAACTCTGGGGTCCCCAAGTCATGACTCTTGTCAACTTTACCTACTACTCCAGAATTAGGTAGGCAGGGAGTGTCTTTCCAGAGAGAGAGTGTGCATTCCATTCCAGACATGGAAATTTCCAAGTGTTGTGGCATATATGGAACACTGTCTGGTTTGGATACTCTTAAGCAAGGCAATGTCCCACAAACAGTCATGAATTGAGGGACTGATTATTACCCCGGAAAGCAATCCGCCAATAAACTAACAACTGGGTTACTACTTACTGCTGGGTAAACAGAGGCATGTGGAGTAAGGAAACTTGCCTTAGGTTTCACCTCACCCAGTGTTTAGTGTTGGCTAAGGATATAGAGTGCAGATCAGGAAACCTATTATTATGGGTAAAATTGTTCAAACCTTGAATCCAGTGCTTGTCTATAGTTACACTGCTCCGAGATTGGGTGAGGTATACATGGACGGAAGTGGGGTGAGCACACTTCCGGCTTTGATGCTGTTTCCCCCCTTCCCACACACACACCACACACAGTTAGACTGTTGTCACAGCATCTAGACCTGTATCCCTCCATAAAGCAGAGCTTTAAGAGCAGGCAATAAATTGGCAATATTGCTCTTAAATTGGGAAATGAGTTGGAGTCTGTGGAAGTAAGCAATTAGAAGTTCAATGTAAATAGGTTTGATTTTGCTAAGAGCACTCATCAGGAATTCTTTTAAAAACATATTTAACATTCTGCACACATAACTTTACCGCAAATGACTTTTTGTTTATAAATCTTCAGTTAACCCCATTAACACTAATTTCTGCACCACAGACGCTGTTGATGTCTTAACAATTTAGAGATTTGCTTTTGATAGGGGGAGACAGAAAAGCTACCAATGCTGGCAACCTGCAATAAAGCACTCAGCAGGGTTAATCGCAATCTAAAAGGGAAAGTCAGATTCATGTTGAGGGTGTGAAAATCTGCCGGGTGATTTGTACTGAATCTGCGGCTTAAAAAGCAGCGAAGCAGTCTGGTTTCTATCACATGCTGCGATCCCTCAAATCACCCAAAATGCTGTACTGAGTAATTAGGAGAGCCACAGGATTAATGGGGTGTGCGAGTCGGGGGGTCTAGAATGTTCACACCAGATAAACTGGCGCTGGCTGTATAACTGGAGTGTCAGTTAGTCACCAGAAGCCACCAGTCAGCCAACATATGTGATGACAAAATAGCCATTTGCTTTTTAAAGTCTTGTGAACTTGCCTAGTTGGTGAAGCAAAGTAAAGTTAATTGTACTTTTCTTCAACAATCATACGAACGTAAGAATTTGCTGGCGAAAGAAAACCAAGGCCCATCTAGTTCCCCTTTCACCATCCTGGTAGTCGCTTGTACATGTCGTGTCCCAAACTACATACTGTATCCTGAGGTATTATTTCCTAACAAAAATCTATCCAATTTGTTCTTGAAAGAATGGACACTTTCTGCTTCCACTGTTTCCCTAGGGAGCCTGTTCCATACGGTTACTCCTCGCTCACTGAAGCAGCATTTCCGCGGATTCGCTATCGTGGACTGTGCCTAAATTATTTTTTTTGATGGGATTACTATCTCTGGAAAAGCCATCCACCAATTGACTAACAGCCAGGTTCCCACTTACTGCTAGGTAAACAGAGGCTTGTGGAGTAAGGAAACTTGCCTAAGGTCCGGGAATCGAAGCCTCGTCCTCTCGCTTGTGAGGTGAGCGCACTAACCACTCCACTCTGGTGATGAACTGCTGCGATTTGTGAAATCCTTCCATTTCGTACAGCGCCTTTACCATAGGGAGAATGTCATGAAGTTCTACACGTCGAGAAGACGTGAAAAGTGATCAAATGCAAGGATTATTATATTATTATTGTTGTAAAGTGTAATGACTGTATATTATGTGGAAAAACTTGTGTTAAGCAAATAGAATTGGCCATTTTAGAAGTTGACAATAATCCTGAAAACTGCTTGTGTTGCAGGGAGACTCATGCACCTCTATGCTATATGCGTGGACTGCCTAGAAGGGGTACATAAGATCATTTGCATCAAATGCAAATCGCGATGGGATGGAAGCTGGCACCAGCTGGGAACAATGTACACATATGACATCCTGGCTGCTTCTCCGTGCTGTCAGGTGGGTATTCATAGAATGTTCTTCATAGAATCATAGAATTATACAGCGCAGAAGGAGGCCATTCGGCCCAAAAGCCGGCTCTTTGAAAAGACCTATTCAATTCAATCCCACTCCCCCGCGCTCTCCCCATAGCCCTGATCACCCTCACTCCCCCCGCGCTCTCCCCATAGCCCTGATCACCCTCACTCCCCCCGCGCTCTCCCCATAGCCCTGATCACCCTCACTCCCCCCGCGCTCTCCCCATAGCCCTGATCACCCTCACTCCCCCGCGCTCTCCCATAGCCCTGATCACCCTCACTCCCCCCGCGCTCTCCCCATAGCCCTGATCACCCTCACTCCCCCCGCCTCTCCCCATAGCCCTGATCACCCTCACTCCCCCCGCGCTCTCCCCATAGCCCTGATCACCCTCACTCCCCCGCGCTCTCCCCATAGCCCTGATCACCCTCACTCCCCCGCGCTCTCCCCATAGCCCTGCAAACTTGTCCTCCCCAAATAATTATCTAATATTACATCACATCTAGTATCTAGTATTACATCAGTACAAGTGTTAATTTGTGTGTTTACTCTAAATGGTCGCTACTGGAGAATCATAAGAACATAAGAATTGCTAGACAAAAGAAAACCAAGGTCCATCCAGTTCGTCTTCCACCATCCTGTCAGTTGCTTGACATGTCATAATAATAATAATAATAATAATCCTTGCATTTGGTATAGCGCCTTATCACGTCTTCTAGACGTCTCAAAGCGCTTCACAGAATATACTGTAAAGTGAATTGACTGTTTTGTGGGTGAAACGTGGCCATGTTCCAAACCTTAGCACACAATGTTTATTGTTTCCCGTCTCCCTTCATTAAACTGGGAAATTACTACCAATTTTCAAACTGAGTCATATAGCAGAATCTCAGATTCAAGCCCCAATCTACCCTCAGGTAGTTGATCTCAGTTGAGGTGTCAGTAGGGGCACTAAAGTTTTGCCACAAGCTTTCTGATCTGTATCACTAAAAAGGACACTAATAATAATCCTTGCTTTTGATATAGCCCCTCATCACGTCTTCTAGACTCCTCAAAGTGCTTCATAGAATATATTGTAAAGTGAATTGACTGCATATTCTGTGGGTGAGCGCTTTACCCTCTACCATCCCTCCAACCTTACCCTTACCTTGTCCCCCCCAAACTCTCTTCCACCTTGCTCTTGGACATCTTCACCCTCCTACTTCCCTCTCCCTCTGGTCCGAATGCCTCCTCACCCAAGGTGACTTCAATCTGCACTTCACCCGCTCCTGCTCTGCCTCTGCCGACTTCTCTTCCCTCAGCCTCTCCCTGCACACCCACACCGCCACTCAAGTCCATGGCCACCCGCTTGATCTGGTGATTACCCGGTGCCTCAGGGTCTCGGATCTCACCATGACCGACAAAGCCATCTCGGACCATCACTTCATCTCCCTTAACTCCTCGATCCCTCTCCCCACCGCCACCCAACCCACCTCCATCTCCTACTGTCCTTGAAAAAAAAAATCCCCACCCTCCCTCTCCACTTGCCTCGGTGTCATCTGGACTCCTCCCCCTCTCTGGCTTCCTTCCGCAATGACCTATCCTCCTCGGTCACTCTCCTCCACAATTCCCTCTCCACCAATCTCGATGCCCATGCTCCCCTCACTTCCCAAACCATCTATTTCGCACAAAAGTCACCCAAGTACATCAGCCACCACCGCTCCCTTAAGGCACAATGCATGCCGCTGAACGCACCTGGCTCAAATATAACTTAACGGTCCATTGGCAGATCTGGCTGGACCTTATCAAATCTTACCACTCCAGCTACGCCTCTGCTAAATCTTCATTCTACTCCAGGACAGTCTTGGAGGCCAAGGACAACCCCACATTCCCTTCGCCTCGTTCTCTCCCTTGCCACACCTCAAGACCCTCCTCTTTGACCGTGTCTTCGGTTATCTTCTCTGCCTTCCACCTTCCCTGATCCAATGTAATTTTGTATTGTATCCTCGCCCGACTCTACTGGCTTCCCATCACACAGAGGATACAGTTCAAGATCCTGGTCCTCACCTTCAAATTCATCCATGGTCTTGCTTCCCCCTATCTCTGCAACCTCCTATCCCCCTTCCAACCTGCCCATTCCCTCCGATCAGCGGCTCTGGTCTGCTTCACGTTCCTTGCCTTGCCCACCCACCATTGGCTGGCTGGCCTTCTGCCACTCTGCCCCACCCACTGGAACTCCATCCCGCAGTCCCTCCACCTCGACCCCTCCCTTGCCTCCTTCAAGAACTATCTCAAGACCCTCCTCTTCAGCCTTCGGTCACCCTCCTTCCCCTCCTCCCCGATCCCGACCCCCAGCTTGGGTCCAAAACAATGACTGTCCAGTGCCTTGGGATGTCCTCCCGACGTGAAATGTGCTCTATAAATGTCATTTTGTTATTGTTGTGAAACGCGGCAGCCAGATGTGCAAAGCAGTGTCCCACAAACAGTTGTGGATTAAGTGACCACAATATAATTTTTTTTATTATAAAAAACGTTAATACCCCCAGAAAGTGATCCACTAATCGATGAACAACTGAGTTCCTACTTGCTACTAGATGAACAGAGGCGTGTGGAGTAAGCAAACTTGCCCAATCTTTCGCCCTGCCTGGGAATCAAACCCAGGACCTCTTGCTTGCAAGGCGAGTGCTCTAGCCACTGAGCTACACATATGGGGATTTTGGGTGAGGCTGGGATCAGTCTTGGCTGAGATGCTGCTTCCTGCCGCAGTCCAACCAGCACAAGTAAACTGTAAAACCAACTATGCTGTGGAGAAATTCTTATCCAGCTTATGCAATAGTTCTACTTATAGTGTGCGACTAGTGTGGACCTACACTGTATCGGTAGCATAGCCCTTTTTTGGCTTCCGGTGCACTGGGGAGCTTTGTGCAGTAAACACGGCTTATACTTCTTCCTATGTGCTGCTCATGTTCAGGAAGCAATGTTGATGTTACTTCCTGTGTGCTGCGCACGCTCAGGAAGTAACATTGATATTAAGGCACTGGAAAGGGTGCAGAGGAGATTCACGAGAATGATACCAGGAATGGGGAACCTTAGCTATGAGGACAGGCTGGAGAAGTTAGGACTTCTTCCATTAGAGCAGAGAAGGTTACGCGGGGACCTGATAGAGGTCTTCAAGATCATGAAAGGTTTTGACAGGCGAGATAGGGAAAAGCTGTTTCCGCTGGTCGGTGTGTCTGTGACCCGCGGTCACAGTCTGAAGATATCTACCAAAAGAAGCAGAGGGGAGGTTAGAAGAAATGTTTTCACTCAGCGAGTTGTTGGAATTTGGAATGATCCGCCCGAAAGGGCAGTGAAGTCCGATTCGGTAACAGCTTTTAAGAGAGAACTGGACAGGTATCGGGGAAGACGGGTTTGTGGGGTTATGGGGAGAAAGCTGGTGATTGGGGTTAGTGAAAGTGACGCTCTGTCAAAGAGTCGCACAGACTCAATGGGCCGAATGGCCTCCTTCAGTGCCGTAACATTCTATGAATCTATGATATCACTTCCCGTGTGCTGCTCATGCATATGCTCATAGATCCCATGACATTATTCAAAAAGAGAAAAGAGTCTCACCGGTTTTCCTGGCCAACAAACCTCCGGATAAATTGTTCATTCACATATAAAAATATAGAAACGTAGAAATAGGAGGAGGTCATTCAGCCCCTCGAGCCTGTTCTGCCATTCTGTAAGATCAAGGCTCATCTGTACCTCAACTCCAATTATCCGCCTTTGCCCCATAGCCCTTGATACCCTGACCTAACCAATATCTATCCACCTCAGTTTTTAAAATGTATCCATATAGCTTCTCCCAATGTGAAAGGCTCTTTACGAATGTAATCTTGTTGTTGTTGTTGCTCATGCTTTTAGGACTTTGCTGAGCGCAAAATGGTTGCTGTGGTTGCCTCCAATCAGGTTCTGTTTTTCCATTTAACGTTGTGTTATTTGTTGCTGTTTTTCAGGCCAGACTGAACTGCAAGCACTGTGGAAAGCCGGTGATCGATGTGCGAGTCGGGATGCAGTTTTTCTCAGAGTACAGTAATGTCCAGCAGTGCCCACACTGCGGCAATCTAGACTATCACTTTGTAAAACCCTTTTCATCATATAAAGTTTTGGAGGCTTATTGACGAATGCTTTTTCAAAAAAAAAGATTTTTTTGTTCTAGAGTAATTATTCTGTAGGCAGTTACTATTCTTTGGTTGCTTGTGTGTAAGTCCTTTATACAGTGCATCCAGTTGGTTATTTTTGGACGCAAAAGTGTGCATACAATCATAGAATCATAGACTATTACAGCACAAAGGAGGCCATTTGGCCCATCGTGCCCGAGCCAGCTCTTTGAAAGAGCTGCCAACTAGTCCCACTCCCCCGCAAGTGTTTCCATTTTAAGTACATATCAATTCCCTTTTGAAAGCTATTATGAAATCTGCATCCGCCACCCTTTCAGGCTGTGCATTGCAGATCATAGCAACTGTTTGAGTAAAAAAAATTCTCCTCATCTCCCCTCTGGTTCTTTTGCCAATTATCTTAAATCTGCGTCCTTTGGTTACCGACCCACCTGCCAGAGGAAACAGTTTCTCCCTCTCCACTCTCAAAATCTATGATTCTATGATTCACACAAGTATGCAATGGGTTCAGATTGTATTTTTATCATTGGTGAGAAGTGTGAGTTGTCTAGACTGATACAATTTTAACGCTCCAAAGAGTTGGAATATTTGTAATTGGACGGTTGAATGTAGCTGTACTCTTGGCCAGGCTTCCTTGTCTTAACTATTTATGGCTATTAGCCTAATGATTCCTTGCAGGTTGCAGACGAAAGCTAATATTTTATGGGTTAAAGAGCAAGAATTGATTCCAGTGATGGCTCAGAGAGTTTGTGTAGTGAGTAGCTATGGCACTATGGTTGATGCAGTTAGCCTGACTACCCTAAATTATAATAATAATAATCCTTGGATTTGATATAACGCCTTATCACGTCTTCTAGACGTCTCAAAGTGCTTCACAAAATATACTGTAAAGTGAATTGACTGTATATTTTCTGGGTGAACACAGTAGCTAATTACGCACAGTAATGTCCAACAAACAGTCGTGGATTGAGTGACCGCTTTGTTTTATTATTATTTTTTGAAGGGATTATTATCCCCAGAAAGTGATCCAACAATCGACTATCAATCGGGTTCCGACTTCCTGCTAAATAACCAGGCGTGTGGAGTGAGGAAACTTGCCTCAGGTTTCGCCCCGCCCAGGAATTGAACCCGGATCCTCTCGCTTGCAAAGCGAGTGCTTTAACCAATACGCTACAGCGTTAGAGCTCTCTCTACACTTGGATGGAAAAGCAGGCTACTGTTTGCTATTCCGCAACTCTTAGCATGTCGTATGGGTGGGTGTTATTGTGATGCAGGCCCTTAAGGTTGATAATGTTTTGTCACATCTCATAAACCTAAATAGTGAGGCAGCAGTAAACAGAATGAACAGTATGTTGGATACATTGCCAAATCGGTTGAGTTCAGATGGCAGGTTCTACCCAAAATGTGCAGTGTTTTGGTCAGGCCACACATGGTGTATTGTTGAAACGGATCTGCAGATCCATACTGAGCCAGGTGGGTCTGCAGCACTGCAGGGCACAGCCAGCCTGGCTCATCGGCAGGACTTGGAAGGGCATAGAAGAGAGCAACAAAACTTATCAACACAACAACAACAAATTACATTTATATAGCGCCTTTCACGTCTTCCACTGACTCCTGCTTGTCCCTCGCACCCTCCGCCCCACCATCGGAGGTTGTGCTTTCAGCCACTACTCCCCAAAAGTCTGTGGAAAACTCTCCCTCAATCCCTCCACCTTGCCCCCCCCCCCCCTTTCAAGTCCCACCTGAAAACCTTCCTCTTCGACCGTGCTTACGGTCACCTACCCCCTTCCCCCGCCTCGGAGTCAGACTCCGCCACTGTTAAGTGCTCAGAGATACTACCCTGCGTGGAGGGTGCTATATAAGTGCAAGTTGTTGTTGTTCCCCAATATAAACTCACTTTGAGGAGTGACTAGATGAGAAAAGAGACATTGCAAGGGGACCTTAAAGTGTAAAGAATGTAACACTGGAATGAGAGGTACACCCTAGAAACAGAACAAGACAACACAGATTTTAGGGTTGTGAGAGCAAATTTATGGCAATTACCAGGAATAATTTCTTGATAGAGAGAATAATAAATTGTTGGAATGGGTTAGCATAAAAAAAATGGTAGATCATAATAATCCTTGCATTTGGAATAACTGCTTGCATGTCAGGAGAACATCTCAAAGTGCTTCACAGAATTGACTGTAAAATGTAGTGACTGTATTTTGTAGGCGAATACCAGGATGCTGGATTCCTTTGTAGAAATGTAGTTATGGGATACGGTTGTTATTCTGGAGGTTGAGATCAAATAGGCCAAATGGCTTCCTCATCCGAATCTTTCATGTGATTATATAAACAGCCGTGTGGATGAATGAGGGTGACTGGCATAGTGACGGTGAAAGTGCTTCAGGAGAGAGGAAAATTGGCTAAATGTGGTGGTGGTCGGGTTGGAATAGAAACTTATAGTTTTATAGAATCTTACAGCACAGGAAGCCATTCGGCCCATCGTGCCTGTGCCTGCTCTTTGAAAGGAAAAACATCCTTCAAGGACAGGAAAAGGACTGTTGATTCCTAAGGATTGGTACAGTCTGTGCTGTTTCCCCAGTTTTACTTAAAAGAAACTGTAGGGATAATGTTTGGAAACTTTGCCCCTAAACTGTAAACGTGGTAGAATATTGTCCTGGTGTTTTCGATGGCTAATAAGGTTTTCCTAGTTGGCTCTTGTACTGATCCATATTTATGCTGTACATTCTTCCATCTATTATTTCTCAGGGTGTTCGTTCGTCTGTTCTTTCCAACAGAAGTAATGTAATGGTTTCACATGTATCAGTAACACTCTGGTACCTCACTCACTCCATCACCATTCTTCACCTGAACCTGAGTGAGTGCTTGTTGGGAGGATGTTGGACTGTGAGAGAATTGTAGTTGACACCAAACTTATTCTAACCAGATATCCATGTGTACAACTTTCAATTTGGAATAGGGAGTGAGGGATTGGTGTCACTGGATGGTGGCTGAATGATTTCTTTCTCTCATTTCCCCTCTTCCCCGCACCTCTCACTCTCTCTCTCCCCAATCAGCGATGCTTAGGCCAATTTTAATGCCTCCGTAACAGCTCTGCCTGACATCAACTACCTCATCATGAATCAGGGATTGAGCCTCAGGCCTATCTGCTCCAGAACATAAAAACATAAGAATTTGTTGGCGGAAAAAGACTAAGGTCCATCTAGTTCGCCTTCCACCATCCTGGCAGTCGCATGACACGTCGTGGGCCCAAACTATATACTGTATCCTGAGCTATTATTTTCTAGCAGAAACCCTATCTAATTTATTCTTGAAACAAACAACAATTTCTGCTTCCACAGTCGCCCTATGTATATAGCTCTATATAACTCAATCTCACCCCTGCCAAGCTATTGATGTTAACAGCTGTTCCTCATAAAGCATTTTTCTAATTTTTAGCCTCACTTGAGGATTTTAAATGTTTTACTTCAAGAAGCATCGCTGGATAGTGTTCAGGGCAGGAAGAAATGTGTTTCTTTCCCTTTCTTCCCCGCTTTCCCTTGCCCAGTGTCACTGGGTTCAATCATCAATGCTTCCATTCCTACTTTGACTAGGAACATCTACCGTTATCATAGAGCAGCAATATCATTTGGGAGCTTCCGGGTCTGCATTGCCAGCACCAATACATTTGCCTCCTAATCCTGCCTAACCCCTTCACACTATTCACCCCTCCCAATCCAATCCAAACTAACCAAACAGGTGCAGGAATATAGTGCCAAAGAAGGCGAGGAATACTCCAGGCACAGAGCTGCTCATTGTTCAGAGTGAGGACTTCAATTGTGCCGCTGGCGTCATGGAATAATAATAACAATCCTTGCATTTGATACAGCGCCTTATCACATTGTAGAGAGTCTCAAAGCGCTTCACAGGATATACTGTAACGTGAATTGACTGTATACCTTGTGGGCGAAACACGACAGCCAATTGCGCAGCGTCCCATAAACAGTCGTGGACTGACCAAATTATTATTTTTTAAATAATTCTTTTAAGGGATTATTACTCCTGGAAACTTGATCACCAATTGACTAACAACTGGGTTCCTACTTACTACTAGGTAAACAGAGGCGTGTGGAGTAAGGAAACTTGCCTAATGTTTTGCCCCCCCCCCCCCCCCCCCCACGAATGAACATAAGTCCTCTCTCGCTTGCTGTGCTACAGGACTCCACGTAAAGCATAATCGCAGAATGTTTTTATATTGCAGCATCGCTTCCGACTCCAGCCCAGCCTCCTGGGTGCTCTTCACCCCACCTTCGGAGGCAGCAGTGCCCCAGCGAGGTGAGCAAGTTTCTGCTTCTCCCCTCACGCCCCACCACCAAGATGTTTCCTGCCATGATTTTCTGGATGGGTTTTTGTCTTGCTCTGCCAATGTGAACCTGTGCTGCGGGTAGGTGGGCGTGGAGTTGAAACTGTGACTTGGAAGCTGCAGCAATGGGAGTGGGTGTGCACTGTTCAATGCTTTAGATTATGTCCCAGAGAGTTAGCTGGTGGGATACTGCCAGTCTGGGCACTTCAAAGATGGTTCTTTTTAAGGTTGGCACAGAATTCTTAATAGTGTGTCTAATTAGATAGCTTATTTGTGGTTTTTAATGTTCACCTTTCGAGCATAACAAGCCATGGGTTTCACCAAACGTACTTTGCTGTAGAATATCCTTGCTCGGTTAATTAAAACGCAAGGTTTAAAGTCAGTCTGGCCCAGAGTACTCGTGGTTGAAAATGTTTATTTTGAAAAGAAAAGTGCACTATTTTGCATCAGAGAAGGAGTTTCGGTTTGAGGTCACGGGGTTAGGAAGGGGAGTGCAGGTATATTGTTTTTACAGAAGTAATAATAATTGTAATAATCCTTGCATTTGATATAGCGCCTGATCACGTCTCGGGAGACGTCTCAAAGCGCTTCACAGAATATACTGTAAAGTGAATTGACTGTATATTTTTGTGGGAGAAACTATTGAAGCTGAAGGAATGTGGATAAATACAGCTGCTGTGTGTATTATACCTTTACTAAACTACTTCATTACTGTACTTGCGAACAGTAAATATGAGGGTTACAGCCCTGTTCGTGGGTGGTGTCAATTGACTGTATTTTGTTTGTGACAGCCACTGGTTTAAGAGCACATTTTTACCTGCAATAAA